CCCAGCCTTCTATTCTTGTTACTTAAGCAGCTGCGTTTATTGAACACCATTTTTTCTGGTTTGTCCTAATTTCCTGTCAAATGGAAGAGCTGCATAAGGCGTTGTACTAAACCTAGAGCTTGATTAACAAAAAGGGCCAGTAGTGGGGATTGCTTGAGCAACCACTGGCAGTAACAGGTGTGGCAGGAGGGACAGCACAGGCACGGAGTTGTGGTCACTCCCCCTGGTAGGTGACAGCTGGGAGCCATCACATGGCTGTGGCAGAGAGGAAGGCACATTGTATCACCTACGTGTTGTATCACCTGCCCTTGAACCACCTGCATATTGTATTACCAGTAGCCATCACATGGGTAACAATCATCCACCCCCATGTTCCTGATGGTTTCTCCCTCTTGCAAATACACATGCAAAAACCTGATATCTGAGAAAACGCAGCAAAAAGTGTCCAAACGTGTGTGTCTGCACGCAGCTGGCTCTGGTTGAGCTGTAGTAGCTCTGGAGCTTTTGATTTGTGGGGTCTTCTGAGACTTCAGTGGCATACTTGGAAGTGGCATATGGAACTTCTTTGCTGAGTGTTTGCTCCAATTCCATTTCAGTCCAAAGCTACCAGCAGCTGGACAACAAGCCTGTTCCATGTTCGACTAGGCTGCTGGTTTCTGCTGGTATTGTCACACAGTCTCAAGGAGACCAGGCTAAGGGACACACTCATGACTGCTGTGCTATCTCAAAGGACTGCAGCTGGGTACTCTGCACAGTGAATAGGGCTAGTGCAGTGACAGTGGTCAGGCTTTCTCTGGTCTAGGAAGTTTCCACACCTTGAATGAACATGGCCTGTGTCTGAGCTGGCCCTGCTTTGAGCATCTGCCCATCCTCCTGCCTTTCCATTGAGCAGGAAGTTTTCCATCACCTTTCTGCCCCACATCCAGTACCAGTGCATGAATGTGCCTGCATCTTCCCCATTTCCTACAGAAGCAGTTCTCTAAAGCCACAGCAGTGTAAAAGACGTCCTCCTTCACCTCTTGGTTCTGGAGATTTTTATGCTCACGCTTTTCAGTTTCCCTGAAAATTACAAAGGAAACTTGCAGGAAGCTTACCTTAAAGCCAAGCAGACTGGTAAATGTGAGTTGATAATTCCCAGAGAAAATGCTGCAGAATGGACAGTTTTGCAGCTGAAGGTCCATCCACCACCATCAGACTACCTGTAGCCACCTGAGCTAACCCCATAGGCAAGGGGTCTATATCTCTGTCCCACCATCTCAAAGTGGAATGTATCTCCCAGGTCTTGCCACTGGCTTGTAGCAGCAGTGTTACTGGGAATAATTCTTTTTTCCTTCTTTCACTGTACCTCTCCCTCGGTGGGGCAGGGTGGTGGAAAGGTCTGACCCCTTCTGGGCTGCAACCACACAGAGCACCGTGGCAGTGTGGAGCCCGGTCTGTGGCAAGAGGTGGGCTAACTCTGGCAGGAACCCTTTGTTTGTGTCTTTGTGTCTCTGCAAGGTAAGAACTATTGAGGAGGGGGCTTACCATTTCATGTGAAGGAGGGATGTGTCCAATTGCCACCCCTTCCTCGTGGTGCAGGCACGCATCATTCTCATGTGCGTGACACGCTGCATGTGTGTGCGCCCCTCGGTGGCTGATCTGTGGTGTTTGTTTTTGAATAGGACAAGGGCTGGCCGGTAAAAACTGCTGTCAAGAAGTATAGCTGATGGACCTTAGAATACCTGGTGGAATTCATGAGGCAGTCATGCAGCATTCATTCATCTATCTTAGTTTCACTTATGTCTGCCCAAGTGCTGTGGTCGTACTAGCAGGGCTTGAGACTTTCTCCCCACTTCTCCTTTTCCTCTCCCCTCTCTCATGTTTCTTTCCTCTTGTTTTCCTTCCTGTCCTACTCTCTCTCTCTCTCTCTCTCTCTCTCTCTCTCTCTCTCTCTCTCTCTCCCCCTCTCTCCCTCTCTCTCTCTCTGTCTCACGCACGCACTCTCTCCCTCCCTCTCTTTCTCTTTTTCCCCCCTGCAAGGCTGATGGATATGCAGAGTATGTTAAGAAGCAAGCAACACTGTCACTGAGCTGATGGTGCTCAGTGACTCCTCGAGCTCCTGGCTGGTCTGTACTGCAGGAGCTTGACACCCTGACCACTGAGGCATAAAAAACAGAGAATTGGAAGGCTCAGCCTGACAGGCACTGGAGCATCCCCCAGAGAGGGTCCACGATGTGTGTCTGTGTGCGAGTGTGGGGAGGAGGGCAGTGGGGATGGTGGGGGAGGAGAGCAAGGCAGGAGAGGATGAAACAATGAAGTGCCAGCCCATTCCCACCCGCAGCCCTGCTTCAGCACTGATGAACATTTGGAAAGCACTGCTGCCTGCTCTGTGGCATGCACAGCATCAGCATGGGACAGACTGGGTCTGTGCAGCCTTGGAAGAACAGGAGAGAGGATCAGCGGGTGTGAAGGGGAGGGAGGGAAAGAGGGAGGAAAAGAGGGCAGTGGGACAGCTGAAAATGAGGAGTTGTCCAAGGGGAGCATGCTCCCCCTTGGGACACAGCTCTTGCAGACATATGACAGTTCATTGTGAGCTTCATTTGAAGCCTGGGGTGCTCCTGGTGCACAAAGGACAGGACAGGCTCTTCTCCGCACTCTGTGCAAAAAGCCTGCAGCAGGGATCATGATCTGTCCTGCTGTCCTGTCTGTCCTGTCCCTCTGTCCATGCACTGTGCAGCTCCAGGGGAGGATGTGGCAGCAAGAGTCTCTCCCATCGGCTTTCACATGTCATGTTGGTCAGGCAGCCGAATTGTTTTGTGCAACTAAAAAGGGCTAAATCTTTGAATTTCTCACTTCCCTGTGGAAAGGAAGAAATGAAACCCCTGGAGAAAGTGCTGTGTGATCTCCTCCCTGTAGAAGAGACACCCACAGGATGAAGGGATCTGTGTGTGCCACACACTGACTGGAGGATCTGGCTGTGAGTCTTCAAGGACTGGGAAACATCATGACAGTTACAAGTGAAATTCCCAGACCTATTGCTGCCCATGTGCTTTGCAGGCTTGGGCAAACACCAGAAAGACTAAGCTGGGCCAGAAACCTGCTGGAAGATGAGAGGCTTTGTGGGGAAGAGGCAAGCAGGGAGGGCTCTGGGTGAGACAACAGCCTCAGCTGTGGTGGTGCAGAGGCAGAAAGGACCAGAGAGAAGCTTCTGTGTCCTGTGGGAGAGAGCTGGATTCCTGACTTGCAGAAGGCAATGCAGATACTTTTACCAGTGGCCCAGGTACATCAGGTGACTCCTGACATATCTTCTGGCATTGCCAGCTTTGCCATCCCTCAGTCTTTTAGAGTGAGCATAGTGATGGAGGTAACGTTCAGGCGCTGAAGTCGTCTATCATCCATTGGGTCAAGAGCAGAGAGGAATTGTAGGTATGGTGTACTTCACGGTGAAGAAAGGTCTGAAAACAGCTTCATTTTTCCTGGCTCATGGTGAATTAATACCATTCCTTAGAGGCACTAAAGAAAACCTCTCTGAGCTTGTGAAGTGATGTGGTTGGCACAGCAAGGTGCACTGAGTGTGGAAGCACTTGCTGTTGCTGACTTGGGACCTCCTCTCTGCGGATGCTGTCTCAGAGGGAGAGAGCAGGCTGAGGCTGGTAGATGCAATACCATGGGTCTGAAGGGCAGTGAGAAACAAGAAAGGGATGCTAACAGAGACCTCCTGGAGCAGACCAGTGATGGGCAGGTCCTGCTGTCAGCACACTCAGTGTGTTGTGGTGCAGATGGAGAGGCAACTCATTTTCACTGAAGCAGCATCATGTGGAGACCAAGCTGATCTAGATCTGACCCTATATTTTGGTGACCAGAGCATCATCCCCTCTCTCCTGGAGCCAGCAGGCCAGCAACTTGACTAAACTGTGTCCAGAGAGAGAACGCCTCTTACTGACCTGGGGACCCAGGAGTGGTCTCCAGGGTGGGTCTGTCAGTTGTGCTGGGCAGGGGTGCTGAGCCTTGGGTGCTCAGGACATGGCATCAGGGGTCTCCTGCCCAGCTGGGGTAAAGGCAGCTCCTGTGTGCGGCGTGGGGGCTGCACCAGCACCAAGGACCAGAGCAGGCAAAAATCATGGTGAGCATCTTCTGCTGCAGGGTGGCAACCCCCTCCTCTTGGTTTAGGAAACCTGTCCTTTCCCCTGCCATGCTACACTGTGCGTGTATATATTTATGTGTGGGAGAGAGAGAAGGAAAGGAGGAAGAAAAAGATAGAGGAGAGTGGAAATCTGTCATTTGAAGAAAATTTCCTAGTAAAGCATCAGCAGTGTTGGTATTTGCACGGTGGAGGGCCTGGGTCAGAGCCCCATGGTGCAAAGCTCTGTACTGAATAACTTGCAGCTGAAGTACGAAGCAGGAGGTGACATGTGAAGAGAACAAACAGATGGGGAGAGCGGGTGCTGGCAAGGAGATAAATAGCTCTTCAAGCATTTTTTCTGCCTTTGTCTAGAAGGTTCAAGATTTCTGAAACTGATGCAAACATCCTTCTCCTTGGCTTACAGTGTTGGGCAAATAGCTGGGACCGTGACCATGTTCTCCTGGAAGGGTACCCAGTATCTAGAAAACTGGCTGGTTCATCTTGTCCTGCAGCAGAGACCCTATCTGAGCAGCCCTGTCCTTGTATTGTGTTTCTTGCCCTGAGTGCTCTTGGGCCATAGAGGCAAGGACCAGCCCCATCAGTGTGTCCCAGAGGCCTCTCCATCCCTCCTCATTGCCTTGTTCCTCAGCATGGGCTGCCTGAGAAAATCCCACTAGCTTAGCAGGCCTGAGCTACAGCACGGAAAGGATGCCTAAAAGATGACTGCACTCATTTACTTAATAATTTGCCCACCCATATTGCCCTCCCTCAAGGTGTCCTGCAATGCTTTTACTGTGGCTATCACTGGAGCACAGTGCGCGCTGAAGAGCTCCTTTCTCTCAGAATGGTAACTGTCATCTCAAATCAAATAATATTTTGTTCTGTCTCTTTAACTCAGGGAGTGAGTTTTCTGGGACCCCCTACAGCCACCCGCAGTATTCAACATACAACGACTCCTGGAGGTTTCCCAACCCTGGACTCCTGGGTAAGTGGCTACCCCCGCCTTGAAAGCTCAGAGCAATGTGTGTGGTGTTTTTCCACCCCTGGGGTGGGCAGAACATGTGTACTGACCTGGTCCTCAGTCCCTATGCTCAGCCCATGCATGGGACTGCAGGTCTTCTTTGGGGTGCATAATTATTCTTGATTCACTTTGCCAAGAAAAAGCCCCACCCAAACCTCTCATCATCCTGCTTCTGCCTGATAAAATCCTTCCAGAGACATGGGGTGTTGCCAGAAAGCATGATCTGCATTTTGTTGAGGGTAAGGGATCCTGTTCAGACAAAACTTGAGGTGCCAGTTTGCTTACAGCCAGATGTAAGCCCCATCAGTCCCCATGCCATTGCTGCTTGCTCATGCAAGTGCTTTGCATCTCTCCCTGACCTCATGTTGCATTTGTGCCCCAATTGTGTGTTTGCCCACTCCATCCCTCCTTAGCAAGGGACTACTATGCCCGAGCAGCCTTGCTGATGCCAGCACAAGCGATGGGAGACAGAAGCCCTGTAGCTCATGCAGGATCATGGCCCTCATGTGAAGGATAAACATAATCCATTTTACACCACTGTCAAAAGCTGGCCCCCCTTGACCTTATATACATGTAGCATGCAGTAATTAGAATTTTTCCCTGCATAATTTGCATGGATGAGGTAAGTAAAATACCAATTAATTGTCATCTCTCAACACAGGACTAGCATGCCTTAGAGATTTCTAGATTTATGGATGACAGGGCTGTTATATGTGACCTCCAGCAGCGAAATAATTCTGAATTTTTGTCATACTTTTTTAGTCCAGTTTCTTTGTTTTAAGTAATTGAGTCCCCATGTAATTGAACCACCCAGGCTGTATTCATCATTGTTCTTGTCCTTAAACAAATCCTTGGGGAGCCATAGACTGCCTCTGCCTCTCATGCCATGGTGCTGGTATAATGCTGCTATTTGCTGTGCCACATTTAAGGGTTTGTTAGCGCTTCCATCATAAATCAGCAGACAGATCTCCAGCTAATATGGATGGGCATAGCTGCACAAAGCCAGGGGAGTCCCCGTGCTCAAACTCACAGTTTCCATGGCCACAGCCAGTAGCGCTGGTGGGATTTTGGCTGGGCTGCGTGGGAAAGATGCTTTTGCCAGGAGGAAGAGCATACACCATACTTTCTTCACATCTCATTTTGCAACTCCTTTGGAAGCAGAAGAACTGCTTCAGCAATGCTTTGCATCATGGATGGGCCTAGGAAGCCTGGTTGTAGGTGACTTTCTAAATTTTGCTTGCAAACCAGCAAAAAACCAGGCATGACACTAAAAATAAATGACAACCCAGCCCTAACCCTGCCCTTCTTCGTGAAGACAGGGCTTTTGGAGGGGTACCTTAGCTGTGCACTGTGCTCCTGCCTGTGGGTGTCCGCCACCACAGGGGAGGATGTGTGCACCATCCGGAGCCATCCCAAAGCCATTCCTGAGCTCTGTGCAGCCTCACAGGGGTGGACAGAAACCTTTTGACTCTATCAGCAGCAGGTTGTGCCCATGACCTGCTCAGCTCTTCATTTGAGGTGATGGGCTTTTATCAGCTCCGAGTGTGCTGTCCAGGGTGCCAGGCAGGGTAGGTCTCCATGGTGCCCTGAATATGTTGGAGATACGTAAGTCTGGATCAGGAGAAGACTTTAAAGCAGAGGCCGTCCAGGAGACAGCTGCTTGCTGCCAGGACACCTTTTACCTGTGCCATTCCCTTTCTTCTCCATTCGTTCTCTTTTTCTCTTTTCCTTTTTGCATGATGCATTTTGGGGGCAAATTCCATCTCATCTTTGCCATATGAGCACAGTTATGGGGATGGCATGCTCCTTGCAGTAACGCTTGTGTCTCAGACTGACAAGGATTTCTTCAGCAGTATTTACTCAGCAGCATGCTGTGAATCTGTGTTTAAATGAGGCAAGGGCAAAAAACTTTGGATGCTCCTGTTTTCAGAAACTTCAGCTTTATTGAAATTGAAATGTTTCATGCTTTTTTTTTTGTTTAATTTTATTTTTTGCTGTTGCGAATTGTTAAAATATATAATCTTGCCTTCCTTTTTTTTACCCTTTTCGATATACTTTTTTTGGCGTTTTCAAAATCTTCTGTTTCAGTAAACACAGGCTCAGTGGTTGTACAGATAAGGTTATATTGCTTTGAGTGTTTAACGACGCTTCGATTTGGAGTTATGAGACTGGAAGTCTTGATGCATCAAAAAGGAAAAGAAATTGGGAACTTTTGTTCTGCATCAAGCCCTGAAGATTAACTTAACATTTCAGTTCAGCCTGGTCACAAAATTGGGGGAAACTGGAGGTTCCTGGAGGGAGAATCCCCTTGCCTGACCACTGGTAGGTCTAAGTACAGTGATATGATCTGAGCAATGTCTCCGCAATCAGCCATAGGCTATGGGTCAGACATCTCTTGTGCCTTGCAAAAATCCCTCTTAACCACAACTCTGCCTTTGTCACTGGAAGCCTGATTCTGATCCTGCACTCCTGTCTTCCTAGTGCCTGCTAATTCTACTGGTAATTTAGGGCAAGTAGGACTCTGTGGCAGTGCTTTAAAAACCTGCCCCAAGTCACCCTGCACACCCAGAAGGTGCCATGTGATGAGCCTGAGCACCCGCAGTGGAGAGGAGGTTAATTTGCACTATATCCAGGATGCTTCCACTCCTCTCAGGAGTATACGTGAGAGCACTTAGTAATTCTCTCCTGAGAGGAAGCTCTGGCAGTATCAGCCTCAGAACAGAAACCCTGACAAAATTAATCAGGACTGGTACATTGCCTGACACAGTTTGTTTTACAAAGTCCTGTTCCTTTCACTGAGATGAAAGTGTAATACTGTAAGCACTTAACAGTGCCTATGTTCAATTAATTCCCTGGGCTGGCAAGGAAGAATTGCACAGCAACAATCACACCAGGCTGAGACCTGTGAAAAAGGAGCTAAAAGGAGAGATGCCACGATTTGCAAGTGGTAGGAAGAAAGGATACTTGGGCTGAAAAATTATTTTTTATTTTTTGGGGGGCGTAAAGAGAATAGGAACTGAGAGAGAGATGAGAATGGTGAGAAAGCTTTGGTTGTTAGTCTCTAATCTTTGTCCTGTGCGTGTGGAGCAGCAGTGAGGGGTGTGAAGTGGTGTCTTCATGCGAAGGCAGAACCATTCTTGTGGCATGCAGACAGTGGGAAAAGGCTATCTGGACCCAGAAGAGCACCAGCTGCTCACCATCTCCCCAGTGCCTGCTCTGCTCTTGCTTTGGTGCTCCCCACTCCTCTGCACCATGCAGCCAAACCATGTCTGCCCCAGCCGTTTTGGGAAATGCTGCAGATGGGGGACTGCTCTCCCTCCTCTCTGGGGCAATTCCAGGTTCTGTGCCCCACTGCTCTTGGGGAAGGGCAGAAAACCAAGCCACAGTCCTCCAGAGTGGTCAAGAGAAGCAGGGGCAGAAGAAGAAGTCAGTTGCTTGCTGCAGCTCTGCAGCATCTTCCTGCTCTTCAAGTCCTGCTGTCAGCCCTGGTGGCACCCACACCATTCTTGTGTGGCAGGGACATGACAGTCTTTTATGTGGAGATTGGCTCAGTCCTTCCTTGACCATAGCAAGAGGGACGACAGACCTTGAGTTCTTAGGGGGATGTGCTGGGAAGAGGACACAGACCCTGGTCACTCATGTGGTGTCTGGCTTGGTGGCTGTAGCAGGTGTACCCGTCTCAAAGCCAGACAAAGACGTGAGGGGAAGGCCCCTTTTTCCTGTTTATTTTTTCCCCACACTGTGCAGTGAATCGCCTGCAAGTGGTACAGTGCAGGGATGCACATGAACACGTCCGCACGAGTTCTGGGGCTCACACTGTCACTGTCAGCACAGATTGGTGCTTGCCAGCATAGGGTCAGCTCAACGCATGCATGCTAAGAGTGGATAACAGCAACACTGTCTAATGAAGAAAAACGGTTCAGTTTTGTACTGGCTTGTAGTATTTGGCTCAATGATGCTCGCTGTAGGTTCTACTTGATGTGGTGTCCCATGTCCAACACGGACGTGGTCCCTGCGCACTGGTTGGGTGGGTTTGGCTGCACCATTGTGGCATTCTGGCTGCCAGTGCTGGCATGGTGCCTCGCAAAGGCAGGGCTTGGAGCTGGTCAATTAGGATTGGATTCGATTCCTCTGTGGGTTTCTGTGGAAAGATTGGAGAACAAGCAGGCACTAGAAATGACTGTGTCAAGAAATAAATTGATGATAGTATGAATTAGAAAGGAAAAATGACAGAAGGATGGAGAAGTCTATTCTGGATGGGGGCATGGTGACAGGAAGAGTGAATACTTTCATTTTTCACTTTAAATACAAGCTTCTTCAATTGCACTTCTGAAAGGCAAACTGGAAACATCTAACTCGAGAGAAGTGTAAGACCTTTGGAAAGCATGGGAAAAATATTGGGCTTTGGTAGCTGCATTGAATCAGAACTGCAGTGGAGGAAGAGGGAGTGGGAAAACAAAGGCCCTGACCCCCAAAAGACCCCATTTACTCCATAACCTCATAAAGTGCTGCATCCAGCTCTGGTGGGACCCAGACACTGCTCAATGAGTCAGGGTGAAATTGTTTGATGCTGCTAGATCCCTCCTTTGGATTTTTCACCCCTCTGCTTGAGTTGAGCTGTTATGGCCAGTGCTGGTTCTGGTGCTGGTGGGAACTGGGGTCTCTGCTGGGACCACCACTGGCTGCTCAACATCGACCTTGTGGTGATGTGGTAGGTGAAGAGAGCATTTCCACCCTTCACTGGCCTGTGAGTTGTTTTGTCTCAAGATACTGCCTGTCCTGCAGTGCAAAATGATCCCCATGGATCATTGGATGGACATGGGCCAGAAAACAGGCACCCCCGAGGGCGCAGCCCCCAGGTCACTTGCTACAGCGAACATCCCTAAAATCCCAGCTAGACTGGACATGCACATTTCAAAGTCTGGTGTACTGTTACACTTGCCTTTGTTCATTCAAGACTAGCCAATTTGACCAAGGAAGGCTTCCATGTTTTCAATGGTTTGATTTTGACTGGGATACTTAGTATACAGCATTTAATTTTAGACTGCCAATGAGAAAGGTATTCACTGTCTTTCTGAATCTTTCTAGTATTCTCTCCAGGAAATACAGTTCCTGAGTCAGGGGCTTGTTAACCTGGTGTCAGTTACCTGGAAGAGGACTGTCTGTCCATCCTAGGCTAGCAGTTGTGGTGCCCTCAGCAGGTAATACAAGGATGTCAGCTCTACACTTGTGCAAGCATAAATGGGATGATGACCCTCTGAATGGATCTGCTCTGATGCCATTGGCTACGGCTTAAAATTTTTACCTTTTAGTAAATAAACCTAGATGGGTTAAGTTCCTGCCTAGGAGTTTGTATACAGACAACTTTGCAAATGCTTATCCTGGCCAGTGATTTCACAGACTCTTTTGAGCTATTCTTGGATATGGTAAAACTGTCTTCCCAGTCAGGTGGGATGACACTCCTGAAGACTGGGTTATCTCTTTTTGAACCCATCCCTTTGTGGTGGCTTTGTCTGATTTTTAAGTGTGAATGTCTGGGTCACTAAAGACGATACTGAGGACAACACAGATTGCCTCCCTGCATACAAGCTCCTGTTCTGCCACAGCACTGACTGGTGCAGAAGCCACATTCCAGTAGCCAAACCCCTTTGTTTCTGACCCCTTGGAGTTGCAGCTGCAGAGTACCACATGCTGTGGTATGACACTGATCACGAAAAAGAAGTTTCCTTCGCTGTGACTGTGCCAAGGAGTGCATTGCACATACTGTGCAATAGCAGATGCTCCCCTGGAGCAGGAGGCTGGTGATGAAGGCTGAGCTGATTTCCTGATGTGGCACTCTGGACAGTGGCACTCTGCCTGATGTGGCAGCCTAGAAGGAACAGGTGGGCTTGTCTTTTAGATGGATCCTGGTGGACCCACAACAGTGAGGTAGCCCTGCATGTTGCCAATGGTTAACGGTGACCGTGCATGAGCTTTCTCTTGGAGGCTGACTGTGCAACTCACACTCTGTGTTTGGGCTTTTGAACCAGCAGTAATCACTCAGGTCATTTTGGGCTGAACAGCAAAGCCTTCATCTGGAGGCTGTGCAGCAGGAGGAGAGGTCAAAAGGTTCTCCAGCCTCCTACAGGTGGAGGCTCTTGGCTCAGCAGAGAGCAGGTGAACAGCAGCATAGGGCATGCCAACTGGGTTTCTCCTTCCTACTCCAAAGGGTGTGCAGGGTCATGGTGATGGAACAACTGGGGCGCTGCCACACTCAGACTGCACCCAGGGACTGGGCAATCATTGGACCTGCAGGAGCAGGGTTTGCTAGAGTCTGGGGTGGGAAGTAAACAGCCAAAAACACACCCTAGGTTTCACTGCCACTGATGTTTTCCTGAGAGGTCCACAGGCCCTACTGAGCTCTGATGGCACCACCTTTTCCTCTCGTGGTCAGAGGAGTCAGCTCCTCTCTTAGAATGGAGCAGAGTTGGCTTCATTGCTGGTGTGCCTGGAACGTTTTTTAAGAAGTGGTGCTGTCTGGACAGATTGGTGTCTCTCCAAGTACAAGTCAAAGACTGTTCCTCTTTCAAGCAAACAGTCCAGGTTCCTGGTGATCCTTGAGTGATCACTCTATCTACCACTCTGTAGCCTTGCAGGACAGAAAAAAATCATTACCAATATTTTTCAGGCCTTTTCTCAGTAAAGGAGTGCTTTCAGTGAAATATGTTGAATGCTTTGGGGTTCAGCCTCCTCCACCTCCTCCTCCCCTGTCCGAAAGAAGGGGGGGAAATCAAAAAACTCACAATGTGGTGGTGGGTTGGGGCTGTATTATTTTGACCTTTCATTCTAAAAAGTGATTAACTGTTTTGGTGAAGTAAATGAAATTGATGTTTTGAGTGAAGGAAGGGAAGAAGGTATCGAACTGCCAGCAGCAATGCAAAGCAACGGTACCCACTTCTTATGCAGAATACATGAATGTGATTTTTATTCTAATTACCCAGCCTTTATTGAAGCTCTGGCTGGAGAGCTCTCTGCCACCCATGTCAGAATGCTGCAAGCTGGCACCTTTCCACCTTTGTCTTCTTCATGGTGGTCTCATCTCTCACAGGCTCCCCCTACTACTACAGCACTGCGGCCCGTGGGGCAGCCCCACCAGCCACTGCCACCGCTTATGACCGCCACTGATGCCGGAGCCCCGGCACTGGCGCTGACGGCACCACCTGGGACAACCGCGGCCAGTCACCCTGCTACAACCACGCCAGCTGCACCACAAGGGAAGGAGAAAGTACCTACTAGGAACATTATCATTGAAATTTTGCTCTTTAAACTTGGTGAACTCATTGTTGTATTCTTAAATCTGGTTGAGTCTTGAATCAAACAGAGAAATGGGAGGAAGGGGTTCTCCTGAAGCTCTGTGTGCTCAAAAGTGCACAGTAGCTTCATGTTCTTTGCAGCCGGCTGGCTACTGCTTTAATCGCCTGCGGGTGCCATGGCTGTATCTGGGGATAAGGAAGAGGTGTGAGCAGCTCCCCTTGGGGCAGCTTCCTCTTGCTGCACACTGAAACACGCTATGAGACTCAAGGCAATTTTCTTGTCTCTTTTTTTTTTTTTTTTTTTTTTTTTTTGTGGCAAGGAAAAGAAATCAGTCTGCTCAGTTTTACACAAGCATCACTGTAAATACTTGCTACTTGCTTGTTTGTATTACTAGAAGAGTGGGTTAAGCATAAGCAGCAACATTGTAAAAATACAAAATCAAAACACATCTGAAAGTGTTTTGAAACAGGTGCACTGATTCAAAGAACTCAGTAAGCTTTAAGCAACTTTGAACCAGGTTAACACTCATTGTGGCTGTATTTTTGGCTGATATTATTTCTGTATAGAGCATCCTATCTGACAGTTGTGTGAGATCATGCTACATGCTGGTATCAAACACATGGGCAACTGAAAGACGCGGGCAATTTTGTGATATTTTACTGCTTAATATTCATTTATGTTCATTTGCCATCATAGCCCTGAAACAAATTGGTGGCTTCAAGTTAAGCAGCCTCCAGGAAGGAATTCCTAACTAGCAGCGGACACCTTATGTACATCGCAACAGACTGTGTGCTAAAACCCAGCCATGAAAACCCTGAGCAGAAGGGGAAAAAGTACCATGGTAATGATTTTTGTTTAGTGGATGGTACTCAGCGGGGTGTACCGGGCATGAGGGCAGCTGCACTCACTTTCCAAGGCAAACTAGAGGGGAAGGAGCTTGTTTTGGGGGTCTGTGTGTTTCTGTGAAGGCATCGCAGATTCCAGCCACTGTAGCCCAGACACGCCTGGGGGGAATTTTGCCCTGTTAATTCCACATTTCTTCCCTCCTGCTCAGAGCGGGAGCACTAATAGTCACATGTCCTTCAATGTGTGGCTTGTGGGGGACTAACCTAAGAGAGGAGAATGGCTGCAAATGATCCCCTAAGCAGCTACACCAATCAGGGCAGCTCTACCGAGTCAGGAGAACTGCTGTTCTCTCCCTACAGCCTTCCCCCGCCCCAGGCCTAGGGGCAGACAACCTCAATCACATAAGGATGATGGGCATGACTCCATCCCTTCCCTCCTGAAGGCAGTGGAGAAGCTGCCTGGTCCTGTTGAGATGAAGATCTGGCCATAGCCTCCTTACTTCTGGCCCAACCATCCTCATCCACCCGGAGCCACAAAGGGTCTGCTAAGGGGTCCTGTTGCCACTTGCCCATGAGTGCCCCAAGGTGGAAGAAGGGTTTTTGGTGTCAAACCTGAGATTGATTCCTGTGGATGAACATTCAAGGAGGTATTTACCTGCTTCCAGCTGTACAAGCATTTCTCTGAAATGGCAGCTCCTGAGTTAACACTATTGTCTCTCCTGTCTCCCCACCTCACCACTTGTGCTGCATGTCTGGTGTCCATAGTGGCCACTGATGTGCTGAGAATTTTTCTCTCCAACTCCAGTGGAATCTTCTTATGCTATGGAAGTGCAGCCATCACCTACAAGTTTCCAGGGCAGATGTGTTCTGATCCTCGAAAGCCACAGAGACACTTAGGTCCCACTGACTCAATGACATTTCAGTGGGATGTTCACAGAACCCATCAGGGATTCTGACCAGAGTCTTTCAAATTTTGCCCCTAATCCAGAAGTAAGTTTTGTGACAAGCTTATTGGTGAGATAAGTCCTACTTTTCATCTATCAGCAATTAATAACTGATACATACCCATTTTTAACTAAAGACAAATAACAGCATGGACAGTTTATACAGGTAACCTTCTGAAGCACTGCTTTGGGTTTGTACCTTTCTGAGCACCCCACGATTGCTTGGACAAATCCGCAAAGGACATTACCATTCCTTGGGACCACATGTGAGAGCCTGGATGAGGCTTCCTGTATGCACCTTCTCTGTGAGTTCAGGAAGGGATGTGGCCATCCAGTGCCTTTGCTGAAGAAGTGAGAAACAAGGGCGTGACCATAGGTGCTGCTGTTGGTTCTGGAGCAGAGGTGCACTGAGTTACATCAGCTATGGGGACACCATCTGCTTGGTGACCAGACTGGGCTAAAACAAGTCTATCTGTGTGACCAGTGAAGGAACAGCAGCTCTTGTCATTGGCATGTGGGTCTTTCACCCACTCTGCTGACTGCCCTGCAACCACGTTTCTTTTATTTGTTTCCTTAGCAGCATGGGTTGTGTGATGTATGTTAATTTAGATAATGTTAGGAAGATCAAACATGAGACTTTGGCAGATATTTGCGTGCTCAGACAAACAGCCCTTGTACTTCAGCTAGGGACTTAGGAAAGGCACAGTGGGTCTGGTTGGCCTCAAGGCTTTCATCAGGACTCCCCAGGGCCAGACCTCTGCCAGAGCTTACCTGCCAGGCACAGTGGTGGGCTCCGTCCCAGGGACTGCAGGGGTGCATAGGCAGCATACAGGTCTCAGTCAGAGCTGCCAAGGGGAAACCCAAAGCTCCCACTCTTGCACGTGCTAGGCAGGGACCTGTGCCTGGCCCTTCTCCCAAAACACATCAGCCGTGGCGTGCTCACATCTGCTGGGACATGTTCCTGGCAAGAATGGCCAGTAAGAATTAGGCCATGGAGTATTCATGCCATGCTGCTGGAAAAGGCATTTCTTGATAGTACTTTCTGGTTTTGAAAATGTTTCACTTGGGATTTACAAACTCCTTTCCTCAGGAGGACTGGACTTTCTGACCATGACCTTCACTGGGGGGAATGTCCTCCTTGGAGAATGTCTTTGAAAGGCACTCTTGGTAGAAGAAGGTGGTCCTCCAGCGATAATGGAGGACTGTCTGCATCCATCTGTCCTCCATGGTCTCTCTGTTTCATGGGGGAGATGTCACTGGGTGAGGTGGAGAAGCAAATGACCCCTTGGGACTGCAAGGAGGAGAGAGAGTAAGACCAGTGCAGGGGTTTAAGTTGCTCTGCCAACCCTTTGCTCAGATGGGATGCCCTGTAGAGCAGTGTATCATCACTAAACCCTTGCAGAAATCAGCCCCACAAAGTGCCTTCAGGCAGTTTCAGCACTAAACTCAGTAATACACTTGGCTAGACGGAGGGTTTTCCAGCACTGTGCGTTCCAGCAATAATTTTATTAAATACATTGCTGACACAGACAGGCTAAGAAATGAAATCTGAAAGGTGGAGAAGGAAAATGCTGCCATAAGACAAACTCAGCAGAAGTCATGAGACAGGATTGCATGAACTGACGTTTTGAGGAAACCCTCAATCAAATGCTGTGATACTGTGACTGTAAAGAAGACATAAAACATTGTGGGCACTGAGTTTGCTTAGCATCTGTGTCCAAAGATTCCATTATGGAGACAGTTTTGTTAGGCAGTTCTGCAGACTGAAGAGCTCTGCATGTCTTAGGACTGGATCCACAGACCAAAAGCTCTGCTTGTTCACTGTTAAATCAGAAAAACACTGGGGCCAGAGTGTGCATTCATTCCAAGATGTCGGAGCAGTGATCTGATTGACACTGGGACTGCAAGTGTTGGGACAACATCGGTGCTTGATGCACTTGGGAAGGAGGCAGTCAGGAAAGAAGTAGCACCAGGGGAAGAAAAATGGAAAAAGGGGTAAAAGGATGAGAGGCGTCTTTTGGAAAAAATCTTTTCTGACCAGTCCATAGAGCTCACAACAGTGGAGTGCTTACAAGCCATCACCCCCCTTTGGCTCCCTGTGGCTGAGTTCTCTTGGTGCTGTGGTGTGAGGGCAGTGCAGTGGGAGAGGGCAGAGCAAGGGGTGAGGGTAGTGTGGTGAGCTTGCTATGCCGAGTCTTAGCAGTTGCTGGGTTTTAATAAATGCTCTGCCACGGTTAGCTGATGGGGTTGTATGTGTATTCTTATTTTCTTTAATTTACCTATTTTACATGTCCTTCAGCGTGGAGGAGAGAGGAAGCCATGTTATGGTCTTGCTTATTTCCAGCCACAGGTACACATGGCTTTAAGAGCCATGGCGGAGTCAACTTGTGTAGCTGTTATTGGCTCCAGCACAGCTATGACTGAGTGTCCTCCCTGGTGCTGTGCTCTTTCCTGCATATATTTGCCACTGGGAAATATGAGTCCACAGACACAACAAGTAGCACAGCACTAAGCTGATCCACCCTATGACTGCCCCAGCAAACTCTGGAAAAACCTGCTTTTTCTTCTGGATTCATTGCTTAATGTTAGAGGGCCAACAGCTCTTGGCAAACATGCCCTTTAGTGTCTTACTGGGCACACAAGTGATGGTACTGTATGAGCATTGTCAGGCAGAGTCAGATCAGGTGGCTTGCACTGACACAGGCACTGGACACACATCCTGAGCTCTGGCTAGAGCTGCTTCGTGCTGGAGGCAGAGTGCTCAGGGGTGACGTGAGGCTGGGGACACCAGTCGTGGAGCCCTGTGGTCCCTCAGACCTGCTCCTATCACAGGCACACATTACTGCAGTGTGAGAAGCAAAAAGATCTGAAAGGATCAAAAATGGTCCTTTTTCTGGTTGAGCTAATGAGACTCGACATGGAAATATTGAGTGAAAAGTACGTTAAAGCAGTGTCAGGATTGCTCCCCTTGGTGTCATGGCTGGCGTAAGTGTCAGCTCCAGCAGTGGCCTCGCTCACCAGTCCTGTGAAAGGGCTCACAGGATGCAAGAGCTCCAGGGCAGGAACCAGATCAAGGGCACTGAGTTGGATGCGGCCACAGCATTGTGGGGCAGGTGGGCACGTAGGGATTGCTGTCCACATGTGTATGTGTAGGCACACTCAAATCTCTCAGATGCTGGTGGAGGTTGTGGAAAGGTGGACTCTAGTCCTGCATCAGCCCGAGACACCACCCAGACAGACCCCTGTGTCCAAGGTCTCTGGCTTTGCCTTGTCAAAACTAG